TCTCGTCGCCCTTTCCTCCATCTTCCTCTGCCTGTCCATCTCCTTTCCCCAGTGACCACTCTCCCTATCCCTCATATATCGCACGCCCGACTGATGCCCTTCCCCACACCTTCTGTTTTATCTGGCCCTCACACACCGCTCCCTCTATGCTTCAGATACCTAACTACCACTCTCAACGCTTCCCCGCCCTTGTGCTCGCCATTCATAACTACCGCTTTCCCTTTCAACTCTCCTTTCATCACCAAGTACAGAATGAAACTAATACCTTGCGCAGAGGGTCTTGAACAAAGCAACGAAGAGAAGCGTGCTGCCGGAATACACCACACCATGGACTCTCAAATGCCATGAGCGGAGGTGCACGAGTGCAGGTTCAATGGCAAGCTAAGGAGGCTCGGGGGCGGTTGGTCCGCACCTGCGTGCAATAAAAAAGTAGAAAAACAATTCTTGCAGTGTTGCTCGTTCGATTCGAGCCCGAGCCATACCATAGAGTTGTGCTTTTTATCCCTCTCTTGCTGGCTATTTTGTCTAATTCTTCTGGCTCCTTGGATGGACTCCAAAACCAGAGAAATAAGTTTGGTGAAAAGGAAAGTTTTCCGCCCGAGGTTTATTCCTTCGCGCTTTGATTTATGCACCGTATAGAACACAATATTCTCCAGCGCAACACGATGCAACGTACTGAACCCCAATGGAAAAAGGAATAAGCCTCGGCGGCGGATGGTTCGCAGCTGTATTGAATTATTGAATTGAAGGTGATTATCATACAGGAGACGCTCGTTCGAATCGAGCCCAAGGCTCTAGGATAAGGTACAAAGGGTTTTTTTTTTTTTTTGCCTTTCCTTTTTTTTGCCTCCCAGTGACTCGAGATTGTGTGATTCTCTGAAAAGGGAGATTCGAACCTCTGCTGGTACATAAGGCTCGGTCCGTAGCGGCGCTAAACAACGTCGGTTACTGTTGTAGTCGGTCTAGGGGCTGAAGTAAAAGCAACATCACGCAACACAGTTTCAGAGCAGATAAACAAGGCTCGGCGGCGGATGGTCCGCATCTGCATCTTGTGTGTGAAGACTCGCTGATTCTTGCAGGAGGAGCTCGTTCGAATCGAGCCCGAGCCATACATCTTTCCGACCTCTTTTTTGTCCTTGTTGAGGGGTGATACAGCGCAACAGGATCTACTCGTATGAGATCTCAAGGTAGAGAGATAAGCCTCGGCGGCGGATGGTACGTACCTGTGTTGAGTTTTGGAATTTGTTGGTCATCGTGCAGGAGTTGCTCGTTCGAATCGAGCCCGGGCCATGTGGTGGTGCGTAGAGACAACTTTTTATGTTCCTTAGCCTAGGTATGCTGTTCTCAGCAAAACAGGAATCGAAGCTACACCGTGACAGAAAGGCTCTGGATAAGTTCGGTCATCTGTCGAGCGCCCGTGGCTGCAGCCACGTACCACTCCACAAGACTCCAAGGCAGATGAATAAAGCTCGGCGGAAGGCTGTGACGGGTATCCGCACTGGCACTGGAGTTTGGTTCTTGCTCGAGTGCCCATCTTGATCCAGGGCTTCATTAAAGCGCGCAACACCGTTTCAGAGAGGAGCTCGTTCGAATCGAGCCCGAGCCTTGAAATTGCCGAATGCTTTTTTCTCTCGATCTTGTCGGTGATTCACATTTTTCTGCATTCTTCACCTGTTGCTACAGCGCTACGGGATTTGGATGCACCAACATGAGCTTCAAAGGTAGGACAATGAGACTCGGCGGCGGATGGTCCGCACCTGCATTGAATCAGATTGTATTGTGTGTCGATTATGTCGATTATGGTGCAGGAGGTGCTCGTTCGAATCGAGCCCGGGCCTTGGGGTTGTAAAATGCCTTTTGTCCCTCCCTTGTCGGCGGTTGTAATTGTTCTTTTTCTTTTCCTTCTTGGGCGGGTAGAGGGCAGAGGAACAGACTGTACCAATACGAGCTTCAAAGCGAGAGGACTGAGCCTCGGCGGCGGGTGGTACGCACCTGTGCGCAGTGAAAGAATAGTAGCAAAGAGAGTTCTAGCAGGAGACGCTCGTTCGAATCGAGCCCGGGGCATAGGAGAAGGCCAACAACTTTTTACACAGGGCCGGGATGTGTGGCATGGGAGACAAGGCCTCACAGAGTTGGACCGTCAGCAATCATGCCAGTACAAAGATAGTGCCATATGAGCGAGTTTTTGGGGGGGAACTGCCTTTGACCAATTCTACGCTCGATGCGCGGGGCGAGGAGAGTTCAGATGCTGGAAGGCCTTGAGCTCCAAGCTTGAGCCTTGAAACAACTTTATCCAAGCAAATCATTCAGCGAGGGAAAAAACGGATACGGCGTTCTCATGCCGTCGGGAGGGATCGAACCTCCGCGGAGTCCGTTCACCCGGTTCAACTTTGGGGTAGAGGATCCACACAATGATTGAGGCTGGCCGCCCTGGCCTACGACAGCTTACTATACTATTTCGACCGAGTATTCAGGTGACGCGTGACGCGACCTTCTGAACTGAACACTTTCGGTGTCGGTGACGGTGACATTCGACTTTGGAGGCCCAAATAGGTTAGAAAACGCCAAAATTTCGAGTCCGGCAATTGCCGGACTACCATTTATGGTAATTTTCTACTGATTGCCGAGAAATGAACACCAAGAAAAGTGAACACCTATGGTGACGCGTGACATGCGGTGAACACTCGGTCGAAATAGTACAGTATTGTACTCACTTTCATCTCTTATATGCGGCGCATTCTTTTCTTTTTTTCTTCAAAGTTTTTCTGTGTGATTTGCCGCAGAGGTTGTTCAACTCAGTCTGAGACTCGGGAGCTTCCGAGCTCAGATGTTGAAAATTGACTGCTGAAATTTACCAGCGAGATTCCACAGCCTGATACACTGAACGCCCTTCTCAACGCTACACAACTTCCCTTTCCGTATATCTCACTACCCCTGCCAATTCTGGCCCTCTCCGCCCTCCTTCGCTTCCCTTTCTGCCCTCGCTCGCTTTCCATCGCACCTGTCCTGTGCATACAACCTCGCTTGCCCTGCGCCTCATATTTCCAATACGCGTTCTTGACCCGAGCTGAAAATGCTTATAATCTCCCCACGTCCCTCTTTCCCTCGACTTCTTCCCTTCCCCACCACTGTCACCGTGCTTCGTACATCCTGCGTCTTAATGTGGACTCACGCTGCCGATCACGATCCCTTCTCTCTTTTCCTATCCCTCCTTTCCCTGCCACTCTCCCCTGGATATCCCATTCCCGACGCCTTGTAGCTCACTGCCATAGGAAGCCGCTCGCCGCTGTCGGATCTCACCTCATTGTCGCGCAACACCTCAATGCTCCCGTTTCCTTTTGTATCGTGCTATTCGTGGACTCTGAAGCCGGGAGTACGTGCGTGCTACTCCCGGCAGAGCAAGTGGGCGTGCCCCGTGCGTACTGTAGTATTTAATTCAATTCGGCAGTCACGCGTCACGGAGGGCTCTGACGGCGCCGAATTTTGGTCAATGTCACAGGTCACGGGTGGGCTTGACGAATTGACTTTTTGTCACGGTAGGTTCAGATTTTGGTTCCAGAAGCTGCAGACCAAAATTTTCTTCACCGCAGGTGCTTTGGCGTTATACTAGAGTGCATTTTGACTCTAAAATGCTCAAATTCTCGTAATACACAGGCTCACAGAGGTAAAACGCTGCGGATCCAACCTGAATTTCCAGGTGTTTGCAAGCTTCATCAAATTCGATGTTTGCTCTGGTGGACTGTCGCTCCAATCACACTGTAGACATGCCCTGACACTTGGACAAATTTTGGAAGGCTGCCGAATTTTTCAGGTTCACGGTCCACCTGGGCGGTTGACGAACTGACGAATCGGTTGAACATGTCACGCGTCACACCCAGTGCCGAATTGATTGAAATACCACAGTATCCCTTGTTGTACCTTATTGTTGAGGATGTGCCGAGGGAATGATGGAAGGGGTGAATACAAGTGAATTGAATTGAATTGGGGTTTCTACAGAGGGTTTATATACTGTAGGGAATATAGTCTAGAAGGTACTACGAGGAGAGAGACTGCTAGAAATGCTGATTAAAGTATGAGTAAGACTTAGTAAGTAGAAACGGGGAGAACGTCGGGGAGTCGGCTCATTGATGAACCGTGGGAAAGAGATTGGTAAGACAACAACAAATAACAACATACCTCGACCACCGCTATCCCCCATCCCGCTTCATCGCCAATACTTTGCGACCAGATTAAGTGCACATTCTCATGACACCCATCACGCGATACATGTCTCACGCACAACACCTCTCCGCATTGATTTCTGTGCCTCTTCCCGCGTCCCCCGCACATCATATATCCCCGCATCCCTTCTTCCCGCACGCATTCATGTCTACACCCCAACTTCCCGGAATGGAACGGACTCCTTGACGACCGACTAGAATGGTATGCCTGCAGGCTGCAAGGTACCTATCTGTTTTGGATGCTCGGAGCGCGCAAGTACATATCATGCGAGGTTCGGAATCGGTTCTGAACCGAACTCCGGCAACACTATGCACGTGCCCCTTTAAGCTGTTCCCGCTCTTGCAAAAGAAAAGACTTCGCTATCATGAGCTTGTATGGCCACGGGTTAAATCGAATCACCACTGTTGGTTCTTATGAATAATGAGTGTCAACTCACACTTCGCGGGCTTTTCAACACAAGAACGCGCAGATGCGCTTTCAAAAATCTGATTGCGTAACTGGACGACTTGACCATGGTTCTAGCACTCGATCTGCATTCGGCCTCTTGTGAATCTGTGGCCTGCCCCGTCTTTCTTTTTTGTGTTTTGGCTCCTGCCGCACAATGATTAGTCCCTGGTTTAACTCCAGCATTTTATCGCACTCTCAGCTCTGTGAGCAAAGAAACAGAAAACTGTTCGCGACCACTGCGGTAGTCCTGTCCTTGCATGGGGCCCCAGGATTAATGTGCAGTCCAAACTTCACCGTCTTCATGTGTCCTCGAACCACACGTCCCTCGTACTGGCTTGGTGGCGGACGGTCCGCCTCTGTGCTGCATAGTTGTGGTGCCAATCCGGATGTATGCAGAAGTCGCCCGTTCGATTCGGGCCCGAGCCATTCGGACCACAATTCCTTCTTTTTGTATCCGCCCCGGTTTTGATTTTGGAATAACTTATACATGAAAGCTTGAAAGCTTGAAGGATAAAACTGAGACGGTGTGAGAGCGTCCTGGCCGCGACTCCGCGAGGACAATTCAAGGGGAAAAAACAGATGAAGCATTACAGTATGCCGTCGGGAGGAATCGAAGCCCCTGCTGTTCCGTGTAACTGGATATATTCACATCAAGTATTGGAGCTGGCTTCCATGCACTATGACGGCGTATTTCATGTGCTGTGAGACTGGTGCAGGATAATGCTCAACTCTGTATTCATTGACTGGCCGAGTGAGCTTACTGAGTTTCTATCTGCGTTAAACAATGCTGGAACAGCACTGCTTGTAACCATCAAGTTAGACAATGCAAAAGGAAAAAGGGTCCGGGCACGACTTTTGGCACGCTGTCGGGGGAATCGAACCCCGCTTTGTCCCCTTCATCCGATCGCCGAATCATAAAGCGGGGCTGGCCTCCGTGGTCTACGACAGCTTGCTCTACTGACTGAAGGACCTTATTCATATGAGTTGCAATCTGCGTCTTATATCCGCATGTTGCTTTACCGGGGTTTCCTGTTAGTCCGTCCTACTGAACTTTCTCTCGCACTTCTCGGAGTAGCACTGCTCATCATTGCCGAGGGTCGAGAAAAAAACAGTGTTCTTTGACTCGCCATTCCGTCGGGAGGAACCGAACCTCTGTCTGCCCTGTTCAGAATCCTTCGTCTACAATAATGGTAATGGGGTGTCCACGGCCCACGACGGCTTCCTCTCTCCTCGTTTAACTGAATCATCCTCCGTCCTCTTTGAATGGGGAGCGAATTCTAAACGACATTGATCTTTCGGGTCAACCAGTCTCCATTTCTTCTCTGTCCTCAAGTTTGTTATCTTATCAGTGCGCCATCGTACAACAAGTAGTAGAATATCCTAGAGAGCTAGTGAGTCATGCAAACAAAAAATTGCAATCTTTCAGGAAATGTGCGGCCAGGAGAAATCGAACCCCCGTTTGCCCCTCGTATCAGATTTTCGGCACAACAATAGGGGCGGGAGTCCATGGCCCACGACGGCTCATCAAACCCACCCCGAAATAAAAGATGCAGATAACAAGTAATTGGCGGTGTATCGCGACTGCCTCCAGGCAATGGTGCAGTTCAAATTAGTGTAAATTGAACGGCGAATGCGGAACCAACACAGGCTGTCCGAGTTCCAATTGGCCGGGAGCGGCATTCAAATTGAGTGCTGGGTTAGAATAGCAACATTCATTTTCTTCACACACCTGACGGTGAATCGCTTCAATCTTGCGATGGTAAGAATTGAACCATAGATCGGGAGATGCCGGCGGGATCAGATATCAAAACAGCCGATGATGGTAAGCATGCGTACGCAATCAACTGCTCCCGTTCACGGACCACCAGGTCCACAACATGCGGCGCCGCCATCCCTCCGCTTCGCGCTTCCTCCTATTCGCCTCGAGCACCCATCTAGATCTGCTCTCCTGCCTTCCGCTCACCAAGCCCGTTACCTTTCGCCACGGACGCCTGTTTCAACGATGTCCGAGTTGTGTCCGAGCCTCAAAGACCGACATGAAAGACTGGGATGATGCGGACATGCATCTTCCTGCTCGCGTTACTGGCGCTCCGCGTGACGACGACTCCGTCTTACCCGCTCATCGATACTCCAGCTGCGCACGGCATCCCTTTCTCTTTGATGGCTTTGAGTTTGGCGGGCTTCGGGGCGACAGATGATGCCGGCGTGCGTCCTTTATCCTTCCTGCCTCCATTCGCTCTACTGTATCACTCTCTCTTCTTCTTTCCTTTGGAGAACTGTGGCTACATGGCGGCTCCGCGTTGCTGGCATACATTAGCATTTGGTAGCAGGTGCGTCTCCCGAGCCCTCTACCTTCTTCCCTCCTTTCTTATCACGCTTCCGTTCCCATCCCTTTCTTTTTCTGTCCCCTTCCCCCAATTCCCTCTCTCCTCGCTGCCCCACCTCCCTGTCAATGCTCAACGAGCGCTGACGCGTAATGTGTTGCAGGCTTCACCCACCCCAACGTCTTTGCGTCCAACCGCTCTGCTGTCTCTCAGGATTCCGCCTACCCTGGGACACCTGCTGATCTTCGGGCCAAAAACACCATGAATTCGGGGACAGCATGACAACGACACACCCTTCTCGCTCGCTCCTCCGGCGCTCCTCCACGACGCTCTCCAATGTCTCTCGGACCGGTGGGACTTGTGATTCAGGGATGATACGACCGGGGTGCGTGTGCTCTGTTCCTTCCTCCTCAATATACCTTCTCCGTCCCTCCCGCTCCCTTTTCTGGCTGTCCCTGCTCCGTTCTCCCCTTCCCCCTAGTTGTTTAATTGCGCAGGATTCAGTACTGCAGCTGAATATGATGCGCAGGCAGGACCATCGACGCGGCGTACACGAACGGCGCGGTGGGTGTGGGGATTCAGCATCACAACTCTGTGTGTCTCCCTCCTCGGAGGCTGAGGCTCCTCCCATTCTCTTCCTTTCCCTTCTTCGGTTTCGTCCTTCACGGCTACAAATTACAACCCAAATCCTTGTTGTTGTTCCCTTGCTCCTCGCGAACTTGGGTACATAGCTGATATGGTGCTTACGCTGCAACGCGCCCGGGTCTGCCCAACACCCAAACTCGGCACGCTGGGAGGTGAGATCGACTTCATGGAGGGGTTAATCCGGTGCGTCCTCCCTGCCCTCTTTGCAATCCTTTACGTGTTTCGGTCCCCTTCCCCCACCCACTCCCCGTGCTTGGTGTCTAGGTGCTTTGCGCATCCATCTCCCTGTCGCCCTCCGCCTCCCCCTCCGCATTCCCTTCTCTCTTGTATCTCACCCACGGACACTCTCATCGCCCTTATACATAATTCCCTTCCCTTCCCCATTTTCCCTCCCGGCTCCCGCCCGACTCTCCCCAGTCTCACTTGTACCCGTTCGAATCGAGCCCCGACCATGGGTACAAATGCGCCGTCTTATGATAATACTCCTTTTCAACCACACACGAATATCTTATGGCGGAGCAAAGCAAGTATCACTCGACTCGGTTTCAAAGCCAAGGCTCAGCGGGGGATGGCGCGCACCTGCATTCATTCGGTGGGAGGCCAGGTTTCTGTCCCCTCGCCCATCGCCATCCATGGTACAGAGCAGAGCGCCGCGTTGCACTAAGACGAGCTTCGAAGCAAGAGGAATAAGCCTCGGTGGCAGATGGTACGCGCCTGTATTGAATTATAAAATTCCCATGCGATTATCGTGCAGGAAACTGCTCGTTCGATTCGAGCTCGGGGCCCTGGGGCAGAGAACGTAAAGACTTTTGTTTGCCTCGCATTGGATGGACCTTATACTGGGTCGTCCGCACTGATGTTTGTTGAGATTGCTCATTTGTCAAGGGCTTATGTCTTTCGTGAGCTGCACTGCAACTGAACCAGGTTTAAAAGCCAGGAGGCAAGACTTCGCGGCGGATGGTCCGCACCTGCATCGAGTGTGGAAATTCACCAAATCCTGCGGGAGCACCTCGTTCGAATGTTGCCCGGGCCATCGGTTTCTTCCAGTTGCTGCTCTTTGTTAGTGATTACAGCGCAACAGGATGCACCTAAATCAGTTTGAATGGTGAACACCTGGGTTGAGTTTTGAAATTTGTTGAACATTGTGCAGGAGTCGCTCGTTCGAATCGAGCCCGGGTCATGTGGTGGTGCTTAGAGACGACTTTTTATGTTCCTCCCAGTGATTCTGGTAAACGAAGCTAAGCTACACCGTGACAGCACGGCCCTGGAAAGGTTCATCTGTCGAGCGCCCGTGGCTGCACCCACTCGACAAGGTCCAAAGGCAGATGAACAAGGCTCGGCGGCAGATGGTCCGCACCTGCATTGAACTCGCCAATATTTACATTATCGTGCATGAGACACTAGTTCGAATCGAGCCCGGGCCACACAACTTGGCCATCGGCTTTTCACAATTCAGGGCCGGGGTCTGTGATTCAATCCCACAAAAATAGGAGGTGAAAGGAATGGATTCAAATTCGCTACACAGGCCTGGTATTGACCGATCCACCTGCGGACTGTCCTCCGGGAATCAAAACGCTAACCGTGCCTCTATACACTGCGTTGACGGGCCAGCTAGACTCCGATTCTGCGAGCCAGCTAGCCCACGTAAAGCCACTGACGCCGCGGAGGCGAGTTTAAGCGGCTAGTCACGTGCAAGTCTAGGCCTTGGGCCGCCGCCTCCACACGCCTCCACGAAAACTGTGTCTACTCAGGCGGCTAGACGCCGGGTGTCTAGGCCGGGCTAAGCGGCCACACTTCGAAAGTGTAGGTGGCCTGCACAGGATCTACACACGCCTCCGCTGAATCGCGTCTAGGGGACCTACAATGGCGGTGTGTAGACATGTTTAGGCCGGCTTCACACGGCTAGACGTGCATAGCCATCGGCTAGGCGCGCCTAGACTTTTCGGAGTCTAGCCGGCCCGTCAACGCAGTGATACTTGGTGGATCGTTAGCTGGCGAATCTGACCTCGAGAAGACGGGCACAATTTCAAAGCATTCAAGGGGGGAGCCCGGGAAATAAACCACCAGATACGCATACAACAGATGATGTTTGACGGGCTGGGTGTCCGTCCGTGAGCCAAGAAGCAGCAATTAATATCCATGCCAGGCCCTGTTCGCGAGGAAGAAGCACGGTCAGGGCGGCGTCCAGTTGGGATTGACAGTTTTCTGCGTGTGCAACGTTGAAGCAATCCAGAAGCTTAGACAATATTGCAAGCAAGAGAGCACAGTCAAGAAGGTCGAGGAAGAAGCCAAGCGGTTTGAGTAAAAGCGATTGCGAGGGCACAGGAAAGTTCTGATGACAGTGGGGTGGAGAACTACAGCGAGAGGGGCCAAAACCATCGACCGCTCGCAGACTATTTAAGGTGGAGAATCTTCGGAGGATCGGCCTGCGCCGGAGGCGACAAATTGCTGCGACAAACTGCGGGGAGGTCAGCTGCATTCAAACCCTTTGGGAACACTAGGCCGATCGGCTATGAGATTAGGCTGTCTGAGGAAGATTTCAGGCTGCGTATGGGCACATGTCTGGCTGAATCGGGGAATGTCCAGGTTTCCAGCGGTTGAATTTATTTTCGGCACATTGCGTGGACATCGCGGCAAAGGTTGTGAAGTGCGCAGTGACAGGAAAGAGACCCCATCAAGACCCGGTGCACCACCACCGATGGAGTAAAGGAGGCCGTTATGGAACAGCAAGAGCAGAGGGGAGATAATGGAGATGGAGCTAGATGGGGCAAAAGCACAGCTTACGCACCATCTCGTTAAAGAACGGTTAATCAACCCAAGAACCGGGAGAAGCCGGCCGGATCAGCCTGCGGGAGGGAGATGGTACACAAGCGCAAGCAAACCGCTCATTTTCAAATTCCTTCTGCTCCCGTGTGTCTCCGTCTTCCCGCCACCACAACAAGCGCCGGCGTTGCTCCTCCGCTCCTCCTCGTCTCCTCGAGCACCCCTCCCATTTCCTGCCTCTCTCTCAGCAGGCTGCCCATCATCTTTCCCCACCGATTCCCGCTTTGACGATCTCCGACGGAAGCAACGAAGACACACGAAAGATGATGACCACCCGCATTTTCCTGCTCGCGCTCCGCACGATGATGTTCTCCCGGCCGCTTGAGTGCTTCAGCTGTGGCACGACATTCTTTTCCGGCTTTGGCTTTTGCGAGCACGGGGTGATAGATGATGCCTGATGTGATGTGATGTGATGTGGGGTGCGTCCTGATTCCTTCCTCCCTTTGCCCCGCTGTCTGGTATCCTCTTCCCTTTCCTCTTGGCGTACACGCACAATCGGTGCGTCTCCTCCACCTTCTTCATTTTCTATCCCGTCCCTCCCATTTACCTCCTCTCATCCCCTTCCCTCCCTTAATGCTCAACGAGCGCTGACGTGTAACGCGATGCGCACGCAGGTCCGCCTCACCTCATTCCAAACTCTTCAAGCCCCTCCGCCCCCATAATTGTCCGCATCCCGCCTATCCATCACTCTTTCTCCGGGACAAATGCTTGCACCTGCGGTCAATAAACAACGGAAACGCACATGGAATCGGAGGCCGACACATATGATCCTTCCTCCTCTTCGACAAGACACTCTTGAACCGGTGGGACGTTAACGCGGCGTCTAATACTATGAGTTGGGTTGCGCATCCTTTCTTGGTAAGTACCCCTTCATGAGTCCTTTCTTCCTCCCTCTCCCTGCTCCTTTCTCCGGCCCCCTCTTCCGGTTTGATTGATTTCCTGGGGGGAAGATTCGGGAATGCAGCACCATAATCCGCAGGCATGAACGTCGACTCGGCATACGTGCACAGCGCGGTCGGACTAGGGATCCAGCATCCGGTATCGTAACCATGTGTGTCTCTCTTCCTCCCATTCCGTCCTTCCTCGCTGCGTCCCTCCCTACTTCCCTCCTCCCTCCTCCCTTGCCTTCTTCCTCTGAATCACCGTCCTCTGTTCCCTTGCAAACTATATTTATGATACTTCCGCTTACGCTGCACCACGCGCAGGTGTGCCTCCTCACACCCCCGAGCAATCCCCGAGCGGGGGAGGCGAGGTTGCTTTCATGGAGGCTATCATTCATGCAGGCTATTGATCTTGTGCGTCCTCCTTGCCCTTTTTGCGATCTTTTACTCGTTTCGGTTCCCTGCCTTCTCATACCTTCCACCGCTCTCTTTCTCCTATGCCCTTGTTATCGGTCAACCACTCTCAACACTCTCCTTCTCTCCCTCTTCACCGCCCCCTCCCAGGTCCCTCAATCCCTCCCCTCGCCGTCCCGTTCATTCCTTCTTCACCACTGTCCGATTTTACAGGATCATCCAACAAGGCTAACAAAGATCCGGCGGCGGATGGTCCGCACCCGCAGTTTGATATCAATTCCTGCAGGGGTAGCTCGTTCGAATCGGGCCCGGGTCATTCAACGTGGACAGCTTTTTCGTCGTTTTCAACCGGAGCACGAACATTTTGCGGGGTCCTCAGCACAACAGATACCACGCCACGCAGTTTCAAAAGCCATCAAACAAGACCCCGTTGTGGATGGTCCGCGCCTGCATCCATTCATTCCATGGGTCCGGAAGCATGGAATACTGCCGTTCGAATCGAGCCCGGGCCATATGTTTTCTCTGGTGTTTTTTGTCCCTCGGGCTTATTGGCCAGCTGAAGCTTTCTGTGTTCTTCACCTGTTTGTTACAGTGCAACGAGATGTATAAAATAAGCTGTCAAGGTAGAAAGATAAGCCTCGGCGGCGGATGGTCCGCACCTGCATTGTATTCGTAACTGTCTGTCGATCATCGTGCAGGAGACGCTCGTTCGAGTCGAGCCCGGAGCTATGGGCAAGTGTAGACCAGCTGTTTTTTTCTTGGTCAGTCGACTTGATCCCACCTTGTGCTATGCCCACTTTGTCCGTGATTCCAGCGGACTACGATATACCCGTCGCTCTCTGTCGGCTGGGAAGGTGTGTGAGAAGCGGAATATTGGTGGTCTTTCAACGCGGATCTGAACTCAAGCTTGACTAACACCTCGCCTTTCCTTCGACCCTGCTGTCATCGTTGCCTATAGGAAGGAACAAGTGTCAGAAAATCCCGTTTCACGGTACTCGTGTACATCTTCCCGGCCGACATTTATCCAAGAAGATGAGGAAGCAAAGAAAAAGCACACCGTGTATGTCAGCTAAACGGGTACACCACGCTGTCGTGGTCCATGGTGGCCAGCCCCAATCATTGGCTCGGACCACCGGAAGTTGAGTGGGGCTGACAGGGGTTCGATTCCTCCCGGCGGCGTTACAAGGATTACACGGTAAGTGTATCATCTTTTTATTACGCACCCGCCTTCTCAATGAGGATATAAACAGTGACTATCTAGATGCCGCACGAGAGACCGTTGCGATGGAAGACACCGCTGCGTCAGTCGATAAAATCCAATCTACACTGCCCAACTTGAACGCGGACATAGTATGTATATTTCTACTTTAGCTATTATTGAGAATATTAGTCCGAGCTGAGCCCCCGGTGCAACGTGCCGTTATAGACAAGCGAGGCCACCCCAACCATCAGATCCGCGGAAAAATCAGCAGGGCAATGGGGGCTCGATTCCTTTTTTTTTTTTTTTTTTTTTTTGTGGAACGTTTGGATAGTTGCATGAACGATAGTGAACTTTCGCGTTGGTCCGCGTTCACTCCCCTCCACGTTGCGCATTATCATCCGGGGACGCACCCACCAGATGGTAATGTTCAACGCTTCGCAGGGACAACCTAGTTGTCCCTCGATTCCTCCGGATGGCATGGCAGAATCGCATCACTTTTTTGTGCTCCCATGGCGGCGGCACAGAACCAAGCCTAAGGAAAGAGGTGGCCGCTCTTGTATCGCTATAAGTTATTGTTCAAAAAAAATAAGTTGTCGTTCAAAAAAGTCCTCACCCAATGATCAATGCGGTACACCTGCAAACGTATAGGTTGGTTTTTGTCCGATTTTGAGCAGACCGTGAGGCGCAAGCAACAAATGTTTTCTTCTGCTCCCCTCCATTGAACCGACTGACACAGAGACTGGTTGAAGATTGGTTCGATTTTTTGGTTCAAGTCAGACGCTGATGATGGACATGCACAAGCAAAGGGCACGTGCATCAGGCTTTGCTTGTGCATGTCCATCCGCAACCGGTTTTTCCTTCCCCGGTCGCCCGTCTCCGTCTTCCTCCAGCACCTCACCGATCTCTTGGCTCCCTCATCCCATCGCATTGCCTTTCCACACGCCGCACGGACGCCTGCTTCAACGATCTCCGAGACTCCGACGAACGCGGCGGTCACATTCGGCCGCACACGAAGAATGAGAATGCCAATGCTGGCGCAGTTCTCTCGCGTCAAGGGCGCTCGTTGTGACGACGGCTCATCGAGCACTCGAGCTGCGGCACAACGTTCTTTGACGGCTTCGAGTTTCGTAGGATCCGGGGAGATATAGACTCGCTAACCAGTCGACGTCCACTCGTCACAATCCGAATGGGCGGGCGAACGTACAGATTAGGCATAGAGACCAAATAAGAGCAATATCAGACAAACATTGATGGAAACGACAACAACACGGTAACTTCGTGGACGGACTGGGCCGGCACGTCGCGTGTTTTGGTGATAGTTGCTTCCCCCGCCATTTAAGAGGTATCGACTCCGAAAAAGTGCGATTTCTTGAAATTTCCGGTCTTAAGGTCCATTGGTGAAAGTTGGACAACTTTCAATTCTCTATCGAATGAGGCCAACATGTTTTTGGGGTGGCCAAAAAAACAAAGGGGGCTCTATCGATAGAGAATCAAAAGTTATCCCACTTGGATTAAGACATTGAAATACGACGTTTTGAAGGTTTTCGCGTTTTTTCAAAGTTCCGACATCTCATTTGGCGGGGGAAATGCTCATCACCAAACCATGCGACGGGGGAGCCCAGCCGGTCCCGGAAGTTGTCGAGTACGATGGCATCATTTTTCCGGGCTGGCTGGTCACGAGCCTAGGGGAGATACAGAATGCGACGATCTCGGGTGCATTTTGATTAATTCCTCTTTCCTGCCTCCCTTCGCCGTACTGCCTAATTCCCCCTTCTTTTTCCTCATTGAGGGGTAATGTGGATACATGGACGCGATGGTCGAGTCTCGGCGCACACGAACAATCGGTGTGTCTCTACACTCTTCTCCCTCCCTCCCTCCCTCCTCATCCCTTCGCCTTGCCTTGTGTTTTTATCCCATCCCTTTCCCTTCCTTCCCTCTGAGTCCCCTTCCCTGCCTCCCTGCTCCCTCCTCTTTGCCAATACTCAGGCTGACCCGGAATCCGATGCAGCCGAATATTGGGCGCACGAACGTCGACGCGGCGTAGTGATTCGGCCTCCACTATCACAACACCGTGCGTCTCCTTCCTTCCTTCTTACCCTTCTCATCCTTTCCTCCCTTCCCTCCCTCCCCCGCCGTCTCCCCTCATCCCTTGCATTTTATCCTCCTCCATCCCTTGCAAACTTGTATATCTCTATGATGCTTACGCTGCAACGCTGGCAGTCTCCGGAGGCACTCCCCGTCGGCGCTTTCGTCGCCAACGCGCTGCACCTGCCGTGTAATTGTTCCATGTGGCGCAGCGTCTGTCTCAACGGCGAGCGACGTGTGGTCCGCCGCGCGAGAGACCTGGTTCGATTGAGGAGGTTAGGTAATTTGGTGTCTGCGTTTTTCCTCCCTTTTTTGCAATCCTCCCTGCATTGCAATCCTATCCAATTCTGTTCGTTCCACCGTTCTCATCCTCCCTCCACCCTCCTTCCTGCAACCACTTTCTCCCCACGTCGTATCTCATCCCCCTTTCTATCCATCTCCCTCCCCCACCACTCTCCCTATCCTTCCTATATCGCACCCCCGACTGATGCCCACCTCCGCGCCTTCTCTTGTCTCTAACCATCGCCTACCGAACTACCGCCTTCCCTTTCACATCTCGACGAGTACACTTGTGCTTTGCGCAGAGACAAAGGATGAAACAAAACAACGAAGAGACGCGTTCGACCGGCCGCCTCGGACTCTCAAATGCCATGAGCGGAGGTGAGTGTACCAGTTTAACTGCAAGCTAGCAAGGCTCGGCGGCGGATGGACCGCACCTGCGCGCCGTGGAATCAAGACCCGGGTGTAAGCAGGGCTTGCTCGTTCGAATCGAGCTCGGGCCATTTGTCGCTTCCACAAGCTTTTGTTCACGCCGAACGGTCCACAGAGTAGCAAAGCAGATATCACTCCACAAGGTGCGAAAGCAGAAGAATAAGGCTCGGCGGCGGATGGTCCGCACCTGCACTGAATTCTTCATTGAGTTGTTGTGGATTCCTGCAGAGGCTGCTTGTTCGATTCGAGCCCGGGCCACGCAGTTTGCCGACTAGTTTTTTCTCCCTCTCTTGTTGGTAATTTCATGCAATTCTTCTGTCTCGTTGGATGCACCCCAACGAGCGTCAAACACAGAGAAGTAAGTTTTGGTGAAAAGAACAGTTTTTCGACCCGAAGTTGACTTTTGCTTTGATTTATGCACCGTATAGAACACAATATTCTCCGGCGCAACACGATGCAACGTACTGAACCCCAATGGAACAAGGAATAAGCCTCGGCGGCGGATGGTACGCACCTGTATTGAATTATCGAATTTAAAGGTCATTATCATACAGGAGACGCTCGTTCGAATCGAGCCCGGGGCCCTGGGTCAGAGGACGTAGAGATTTTTGTTTGCCTCGCATTGAATCGACCTTATACTGTCGTCTGCAAAACCGAGATTCGACGCACAACTGGTAACGCTGTCATGGGTCGTCCGCACTGGCGTTTGTTGAGATTGCTCATTTGTCGAGGGCTTATGCCTTTCCAGAGCTGCACTGCAACTCAACCAGGTTCAAAAGCCAGGAAGCAAGGCTCCGCAGCGGATGGTCCGCACCTGCATCGAGTGTGAAAATCCGCTAATTTCTGCAGGAGCAGCTCGTTCGAATCGAGCCCGGGCCCCCATCACGCACTCACTTATCTCTGTTCCTCGAAGTTCAATCATCTTTGGTGGCGCAGTTCATTCCGCGGGACCCGGCAAAAAGTTGGAGTGATATCTGTTTTTGCCAAAAACAGATATCACTCGACAAGGTTCAAAAGCATGAGCATAAGGCTCGGTTGCAGATGGTCCGTTGCAATAAACGAGCGCGCGGAGAGTTCTCGTAGGATACGCTCGTTCGAATCGAGCCCGGGCTATGAGTTCTCCGTATCTTGTCCGGCGAGTTGATTTTCCTTTTTGACTCGGACCCAAGTAGCGGGTAGACAGAGTGACAGGATGCACCAAAGAAAGTTTCAAGGATAGAGGAATGAGTCTCGGCGGCGGATGGTCCGGACCTGCATCGAGTAGAAGAATCTTACGGACGTATCCTCCAGGAGGCGCTCGTTCGAGGGGTCCGGACCCATCAGCGGAAGTTTTTTTTTTTTTTTTGGCCTCGGTCAGTCAACGTTGAGACTAGCCCATGCTGTTATCTGAACAGGGAGATCCGAAGCTAAACTGCCGGGGCTCGGCCTGCAACAGCACCCAGGTACTTTGGTTATTTTTCGGGCGTCCATGGTGCCCGTGAACTGCAGTACACGAATATCGCCATGGTTCAAAATTCAGCAAATAAGGCTCGGAGGCGGATGGTTCCGCATCTCTTGTAGTGTATAGGAATGAAGAACCTTTCAGGGGGCGCTCGTTCGGATGGAGCCCGGGCCGTTGATTTCGTCGAACATAATTTTTGTCCCTCGAGGTGATTTGAATTCTTTGGTGTCCTTCCCCTGTTTGTTACAGCGCAACAGGACGCACCAAGACGCGGACGCGCTTCTAAGCAAGAGAACTAAGCCCCGGCGGCGAATGGTCTGTACCTGCACGGAGTAAAGACGATATCGGGTGTCCTGCAGAACGTGCTGGTTCGAATCGAGCCCGGGGCAGGATACTTTCTCTGTCTCCTTTTTTACACGATCAACGTCACTCGTTGACGCACTGACGAATCACCCATACATACTCCACCTTTGCCAAAGCACGCCGCATGCCGAAGCAACTTGGAATATCAGATAAATATGTTTGTTCCGTAGAGTATCTCCACCTCCACAGTAATGGCAGCGCGAACCGCCCCCTCATCCCTCATGTTAACCCCATTGAACTCGGGGTACGTATATCCCATCGCAGCCGTCGCCTTTGCCTGGGATGAGCGCCAATAGCTGTTTTCTGAGTTCCAAAACGGTGTCAGGTCTGGTATTTCAGTGATCAGACCCGCAAGTGAGAGACTTGAACGTGTGAGTCTTACCAGTGTCCGTGTCGACCGTAGAGTTCGGACTAACCGTCCACGATCCGTCGTTGGCCGGACCGGGGCTCACCCACACGCCTGGGTTGAGTGCAGACCAGAGCGAAAGTAAGCGATCGACGTTGCAATTGTGCAGGAAGAAGATGGGGTCAAATGCTTTGGACAAGCGGTGAATGAAAATACCATCACCTGCTAAAATTGAAGCGTACCTGCAACGGCCGGGTCAGACATTTGTCCGCTCCCGCCAACGTCGACATTGACCCCGTCATGGATCGCCTCGAGGCTGTCGCTCGTGCTCCCACCGGTACTTACGTCGTGGTTGCTTAAAACTGCCCAGGTGCGCACTCGTCTCAGGACATTGTATGTGCTAGACGTAATGTCTGGTTGTGTGGCACGCAAATTGCTGAGCACAATCAACAAATTAGCAATGCAGCATTTCACGGGTCGCGGTGGTACGCACCCCCTAAGTCTGTCCACATTGTCCGCTGCGTTGGCAGCGCTGCTGGTTGGCTGACGCAACGTCGTATTCCAGTTGCTAAACGGTCGCGGGAAGGATGGATCGATGGGATGAAAAGTATAACAGTAGAGGGGATTGTCGACCTGCGTCCTCTGGCCATTCGGGGTGGTGACGGACACTTGCCTGAGGGCTATGACCTCGTCCGGAGGCACAGCGTTCAACGCCCAGTCCCAGTACGGCTGACGCAGGTTCAGCGCAGCCTGTTTGAAGCGCGCCTGGTCGACAGTGTACGTCGCAGCAATTTTTATCGCCGCAGTCTGCAAAGCTTGCTGCGTGACGGATCAGGACCGTTCAGTGCAGATCCAAGACCGGTTACCTCGAAAAGGACGAGGTACATGCGTTGCCATGTGGGGAACAACACGTTACCGTATTGAGAGTATCCCTGCCAGCCTTCCCGATCGACGGGCATTGAACCAGAACCGTTCCAGGGTTGGAAGGGACGCCCGTTGATACCCGCGATGGAGAAGTACGAGTCTACGTCGTTCTGGTCCTGCCTTTGCATGTGCTCTGCAACAGAAGCATGTAGAGTCAAACCCGCCGATCGAAGTTAGGAATGAATAACGCACGCAGTGCGAGGATATAAAGAGAGAAATGGTGCTCCATTTTGACGAAATCGTTGATCTCGATGCGGTTGGGAGCCGCCGCCCCAAGAGGAGGGGAACCTCCCCGAGCACCGGTGACGATATAGCGAGGCACGTTGGCAGAACCAGATCTGGGTCCATGAGTTAGAGATACGAGTGAACCCGGAGGTGTGGGAGTGTTTGTTGACGCGAGCACACTGGCAAGAAAGAAAGACACAGGTAGTGCGAGAAGGATAATGTGGACGATGGAAGACATGACGGGGCCAGGTGTGCTGCGGGCGAACGTCTCGACAATGGGAGGGGTTGGCACATTTGGTCCTTAAATGGATGGGTGGCTTTCGAACAGTTGCAGCTTTTCCGCGGAGATGAACGCGCTCGGGCCATGGCTGATTAATCTAGGTGTGGAGTTTCAGCCATTGCTCGTGTCATTCGGGTGTATATACCAGCCCAAACCGCAGCGGCTGAGATCAGTGTTTTCGAGTAATGGATATGGAGTTGGACTTAACTGGTAAGATTATGCACATCCGAACCCAGTCCGCGATAGCTCATCGTTCTTCGCGAAGCTGGCCAGCCTAGTTGAGATCGAGACTAGCTGTTGACCTCGGTGTAGTATCGTTGCGATATGCAAGTAAGTAATGGGATACGCAGTGGATATCATAGAGAGAGATATTCACGCCGCCGACGGAAGGGAAATTCGGTAATCCCGGCAAAATAGGACTTGCGCGACATGTCCTGCCGTCCTGGCGGGTGAACTGTTTTCTTCTACCCACGCACTTCTTGTCTGTAATCCGGACTGAAAGCCCCTGTGGCAAAGCAATGGCAGATTGTTGCTGTGTCTTCAGCCACTGGTCTGACAGCAGGGAGATGAACGTAGGCACGGTTGTGTGCGGTAGAAGGTCCATGTCGAAATCCCCGAGTTCGAGCAGAGTGAGTGCTGGCATTCTCTGCATGATCGAGACCAGCCCACATCGCAATCTGGGGCTTTTCAGTCAGCCAGCGCTCGTCGGTACAAACGTTGTTCGCATGCGCTCAACCGGCAATCCTCGCAGGATTGTATAGGGGTTCCTGAGCTTACCCGTATTCAACAATGGCGCCAAGTCAGTAGCGGAACACGCGAAAAGTGTGGCTCCAGAGTCGAGGCTCCGATGCCTTCCCTGAGCTGGTTGTCATTTATCTGTGGACTATTTCAGCGTCGTTGGCATGACGCGTCAACTGCCATTGCAGTACTTACGCCCCTGGGACCCAGGGCGGATATGTTCAAAGGCTACGTCAGCGATGGGTCGCAGTTGGAAGTGGGAGCAGGCACCAGATACGTCGCACTTGCGTTTGAGGCTATGATCCAGAGGAAAAGAAGTTAGGCTGCAGCCGAGTTAGTTTTGGACCTTCATTCCCGGTGAACGAACTAATCATCTGTTTGAAGGGTTCCAAACAGCAGATACAGATAGAATAGATGGGGCGCAGCTGGGGTGTTCGCTAAGGAAAAACCGCGGCGGTGTCCTTGAAAGCTTAGTGGACCTCCAAGTTGGATCGTTCATCACGAGCTCAAAGCGCGAGTGGCAGAGCGGCAGCCGGCTACGGCATAGAAGTGCGAAGTGATGAATCATGAACCGATGTTGGAAGGCTAGAAGGCTGGGTTTCAGTTACGACGGCGTTGAACGAACTGGAGGAGCGCAAGAGTAGTCTCTGAGTACTAGGCGCGAGGGTGCAATTCAAGAGGGCGTGTGGTCGATGTGTCAAGTCGAATGGGATGTAAAGGCTTTGAGGTGAATGTAGAGGCGGGTGGTTAAGATATAATCCAAGGGCATGAGCGCAAGAACTCCTACATTGCCAGTGAGCCACTGTGAGACGTGTTGTGGTCGTGAGAAGGCCGGTCACTGTCACAATCATTGGGATCGAGTCACGCCGTGGGTGAGTACGGCCCGGCCCTCCGGTATTCAGTTGAAAGTAAAATCAAATGGTGTATGAAAACCCCGGGGAGACAATGGTGGTCATATATACCGAAAACTTCAGGCATACCGCAAGCTATACGGACGGCCACCGGTACTTGGAAGTGCGAACATTGATGCCCCTCTTCCAGGACGCTCGTCGTTGATGATAACCATATCCTTTGGCAAAAAAAAAAGCGAAATAGGGTCCACTATATGCAACGTGTTCAGTCATCCCGTAAAATGATGCGTGAACATCCGTCATCCTCTGTAGCTCGGCGGCGCACTATCACGTAGTCCCAGTGTCAACAAAGCCTCCAACTGCGCCTCAACGCGACGCACTCGCTGAGTCAGTGTTTCACCATGAGGTGTCCCTTC